GATAGGAATTCCTTTAGACTGTTTTAATTCCGGAAAAACTCCGAATTTAAAAGATTCATTAATCAAATGAGATAAAGGTTCAGCAATGTGAGTGGCTACTGATCTTATGATTTTGCCGTTTATTTCATCAATTCCCTCAGCCGATTTCAAGGTGGTTTTATGGATAATAGAGATTACCTCTTCCGGTGTTGTTGGAAAGAGGAAGAAACTTATATGGAAGTTGTATATTTTCATATTATAGTCAGGAATAGTGTTAGTTTGATTTACATTTATAAAATAATTATTAATAAAATTAGCTTTTTCTACATTTTTTTCAGTTTCAATTGCATTTAGTGATTTATTTTTAATTTTACCCTGATTTTCGTTTATTATATTCCAGCTCTCTTTCATACGGTTGCTGCTATTTTGCATTCGATTGCTGTTTTTCTCTTTTAAATATTTTTCTGTTATAATTTGGTATTCTTTCTTAAATTTTTTATAGCGTTCAGTATAATATGGGTTATCTATTTCCTTTCTCAACCTATTCATCTCGCACAGATGGTTATGTAATTCTTTTATTTGAGGTGAGAACAGATTCTTATGTTTCTGTGGTTTGATTTTTTTCTTAACTTTTGTGAATGTTATATCATAATATGTAAAACTTGTATAAAAAATAGAAAACTTTTCATGAAAATCAGTAGTTGTGTTTATCTCATTCCAGTTTTCTTTTGATAAAATATTTTTAAAGGTGCATATATTAGGATCATCTAAGTTTCGTTTGTGGATATACTGGACTTTGTTATTATTAAAAGAGGATGGTAAATTTACAGAGCATACCTGATATGTGTGGTCAGACAGAAAGGTTTCGCATACTTTCATATTATCTATATCAAAGTTTGTGAAAAAATTATCTATGCATGTTGTTGTTGTGCTCGTTATTCTGGTAGGAACATTAATGTGGTGTCTAATGTTGAATCCAAGCAAAGTATTAATTAAATTGATTTTTTGGTTACTATGATTTAAAAAATCCACATTAATGTCTCCACAGATAACATATAAGTTATTATTACTATAAACATTGTGCAATAATAGTTCTATTTGATCAATAAATCCCCCAAAATTAGCATAATCCGGAGGTCTGTAAACGGTAATAATATATAGAAATTGTTTTAAATTTAATTTTACTTTTACACCACATACCTCAAAATCACCTTCAATAGACCATTTTTTTAAATTTATAGGTTCATAGTGTATGGTAGCTAATAAGTCGGAACTAATAAATGTACAAACTCCCCCTCTCTCTTTTCTAGTTCGTGAGAAATGTGACACTAATGTAAAGTTTTCAATACAACTCACCTGCAAGTAATTGGAATTAAGCCAGTGTTCAGTTACACATAGGATACTTATATTTTCTTTCTGTAATATTAGGTTCATATCAAAGCATTTTTTAGCAAAACCACCTTGTATGTTAATATGCATACAATTTAGATTTAAAGCTACTGGTTTTATTTTTATGACTTGTTTTCCCTGAATTTCTGGTATGCTAATGTTAGTTTCCACCTTTGTCTTCTCAAAACTGTTGTTGGTGTTGTTTTCTGTCAATATCCATCTAAAAACGAACCTGGTTGGCTAGCTTCTAGGTCTGACTTTTGGGAGTTTAGAAATCTTTGTCCTCTTCTAAAACCAAATCTTTCATATGCAATTTTTCTTGGCCAGAAATTTGACTGATATACATCTTCTTGCAGACATGGATTTACACCAATCATAAAGGACTGATTATTGTTTTTTGTTGTGATTGTATGTAATTTTGTCACTTCTATATCTTCAATGCTAGTTTGGTGTACCTCTTTAGTTTTTTTTATGTATAAACGCTTTTATGTCACTTTCTTTAACAGTCTCAGGAACTCTTGTTAAAAAAAGCCATATCTTTCTTAAAGATTAATTTTTTCCTTGGAAAGCACCTTCTCCCATACCACTTCCCATTTTACGTTTTCTATTTCTTTTAGTTACCAATTTGAAATTGTCACCCTCATCATTATTTATATTTATAATATTGGTAATTTGTTCAGCTTGGTCCGCCATGAGATTGTTTGTTGTATTTCTAGAGGGAGTTATATTACCATTACTGTTTCCTATGGAATTTGGACTTTGTAGATATTTGTTTTGTAAATGTCCCTGAGTACGTTGTTTTGACTTAAGTGAGTTACTTGCATTTGTTTTTGTAACTGAGATATTTGGTATTTGTTTGTACTCATTTTGTTGATTTGATTCCCTTCCAGAAACGGATGCGTAGCTGTTGATTTGTCTATTTTCAGTTGTGTTTTCAACTTTGTTTTTATTATTCATATTTCCAATAACTGATTCTTGTATTTGACTGTTGTGATTTGTTGTTAATTTAATGTTTTTTATTTCTTTTGTTAATTCTTCTATTTTTTGAACTTGTTGTTCCATAGTTTTCTCATATTCTTTAATTATGTTGTTTGTCACTTCTTTTATTATATCATCTTTGAAGGCATTCAATAAAGATTGTAAATTGATATCAGGTTTATCAGAGTTCTTCTTTTCACAATTGCAACATAGAAAATTGAGTTTTCTGTTTTTCTTCAGTTCCATACACCGGATTTCAGATGCAGTTAATTGGGAACAAGTTTGACAAATTTTTTCATTGCATCGGTCACAATTCCAAATTTGTATGTCACTCTCCGTTGCTTTGCATATCCAACACTTTGACATGATTTTAACAAAATAACTATTTCACTTGACGGAAAATTTTACAGACGTGGCAACGTTGTTAACCATAAATTGGACATTTAGGCTAGAAAGTAGAAACCACATGTTTCATTACTGGTTTTTGTGATATTTCACTGTTTCACGTTCTGCTTTCACTTTCACAGGGATTTAAATGTTTAAATTGTCATTTAAGATGGTTTTTGATATTTTTTAAATCATAATTTTCGAGTTTTACACCCGCGATTTGATAAGAAAATGTAAACACTACATGCGATGTTGCCGAGAGCTGGTGACAATTACAAGTCTTTAATTTATCTCTTTATTTAATAGATTTTATTGTACCTCTAGTGATCCAAGGTTTAAGTTTCTTGCAGTTAACTGAATTTATTATTTTAGTGTGAAGGCAACCATCGTATATGGTCTTAAAGGTATCAATAAAAGTTTGATGAGCAAATTCTGGGTCATTTTCAGCAAAAACATTTCCCCATTTTACTAAACTTATCTTGTCTCTGAATTTGTCATCATCAAATATCTGAACAGTTTTTTTGTCTATATTATTGTTTACAGTATTGTTACCATTTTTCAGATGGATATTTAAGAATATAAGAAAAGTATCCTTGATATCTGTATCTATTACAAAAGCATCTTGTGCTAGATTATTTATTTCTAAATTTGTTCTCATAAAAATATGGTCTATACAGGAGCTGGATTCTCGAGTTTCTCTAGTATATGAATTTATTTAAGACTTAAAACCTAGATAAGCTAACAAAGATATATAGTTGTTTAATACTGCACTTGTGGGATTAAGTTTGTTAATGTTTATATCACCAATTATAATATCTATATTATTGCCCTTAAAGTTATTTAAAAAAGATTCTAAATCTCCCAAAACAAGTTTTCATTAATGGATGGGGCTCTATAACAAGTTAGTAAGGAAATGCCTATGTTATGCCATTTAAAATTAATTATTGTAACTGTAACATTACTTAAAGGTAAAATAATATTTTGTATGTCAAAGTTAATGTTATCTCTAATAAAAATAAGGGTTCCATCGTTTTGATTGTTACTACTACCATTGAAGAGTGTTTGAAAACCTTGTATAATAATTTTCATTTATGTTTCTTGTTTCCCCAAAGATAATTATGTCCAGGTCTTTTATTTGAAATGTTTCAAGAAATGTTAAGGAGTCAAATTTTTTTTGGCACTACGTATATTAACATGAAAAATTTTTAACTCAGATTTTTCGAAAACTGCTTCAGTACAATATTCCTGACCTAAGTCATATCTTTGGTTTACAATACTTAAAGCTTGAGTTTCTTCAAGTTCTATTTTATTTAAAATATCTAATTTGGCAATGTACATTAAGTTAAATTTAAATTAGTACCGAAGTATAAAAATTTTAAAGACAAAGAAAATATGCTTAAAAAGATATAGACAATTTGTCAGCAGTTTATTTCATTCAGTGTAGCTTATCTTGTTTCTCAGCATATCTAGGTGAAATTTTAAGGTTGGGCAAGCTGGATTTCTGGTTTCATGGTCAGTGGCGTGGTTAGTATTGTATTTCCCATTAGACAATTCACAGTTTTTACAATATGTATTTTGTTTAGGACAGTCTTTTTCCATATGTTCATTGGAGCAGATAGGACATCTAATTCTATTACCACAGTCCTCTTTTTTATTATAATATTCCTGACATTTGTAACATTTTGGTACGCTCAAATCTTCATTTCCCATCCCAAGCATAATTTCTTTAGTTTTAATATTTGATGAAAAACACTAGGGGAACATTCGCATATTATTGTATACTTTTTCTTTGTTTATACTTTTTAAATGGACCCGTTTTCTTTCGATTAGTTTGGGAATATCACCTTCCTTAATTTTATGCACAATGTGTAGATTTTTTTTTTTTTTTGAAATTTCATCAAGATCAGTGGCCTGTACCAATGTAAATGGGAATAATGGTCCACCATTTGCTTTCTCTCTATAGAAATAGTTTTCGATGTCACGTATAAATTTCCATTGCTCTAGAGTTGTTTCATTTTTGCTTGATTCATAACTAGTACTTTAACACCCTTAAACGAAATTAGTTTTAAAGCAGGCACTATCATTTTAAATTTTCTTAATAGGTAAAACCGAGGTGAGAATATTATAAGTATTGTAAAGGGTTGCTGAGCAACTGTCGTGAACTAATTTAGTGTATGGTTATATTTTATACTTTATTTTGATAAATCATAGGATTGTAAGCAGTTATTTCAAAGTTATTTATGCAATGTTTTTGTTGAAATTTTCAGGAGCATGCGACGCCTCGGCGAAACTTTGGGATATTCGAGAGGGTCTGTGCAAACAGACGTTCCCGGGCCACGAGTCCGACATCAACGCCGTGACGTTCTTCCCCAACGGCTTCGCCTTCGCGACCGGTAGCGATGACGCGACCTGCAGACTGTTCGACATCAGGGCGGACCAAGAATTGGCCATGTATAGCCACGATAACATCATATGCGGTATCACTAGCGTCGCATTTAGCAAATCCGGTAGATTACTTCTAGCTGGATATGATGATTTCAATTGTAATGTGTGGGACTCGATGAAAACAGAAAGAGCTGGTAAGAATTTTATTGATACTTACGTTACTATTAACTCCAACAAATATATTTTTATAGCAAGTTGTATAATTATGCAGTGCGCATAATAAAGGTACTTAATACATTAAAATCTATAAAGCATGAGTATACATACCATGTGGCCCAACCATATTACTGCAGTCGTATGAGTTCTATTCTTTCTATGATTCCAAAGTATGTCCGATTTTTGAAAATCTCAATTGAACTGACATTAAGAACTACCTACCTATTTCTATTATTTGCAATTTTTGTAAAATGTTAGAAATATTACCGGAAATCATATTGCGGTGTGCCGCTAGGGTTAAATTTGGGAGCCCTTATTCTTCATTTTGTTTATTCTATAAACCATGGTAAAATACTCAAAATGTCTAACGTTTGCTGCTGATTATTTGAAAGTTTATAAAGAAATTGAAACAGTCCGTGATTGTATTCTACTTCTAAAAAATTTACTGATATAATTTTTTTCCCATTTTGTGTAATTAGTAAACTTACTGCTAGAATCCGTTTCACGAGAGAAGAAGCCACTTGAAGATGCAGTTGTATGCGCGAACGTGTCGTCATAACCAGCGCCATATTATAAATTTGATGTTTGACTTCAAATTTAATGCTTAAATAAATATAAAATAATGTTGATCAATTTGCAAACTTACAAATCCCTTATAGTCTCTATTGAATATCATATAGAAAGGAATGGTCACTTTCATGGGTTTTTTATCCCATAAATCATTCAAATGGTCAATAAAAATGCTATTGAATTAGTGGGTGGAAATTGGAGATAGGGGTGAAAATGCAGCCCTTATAGTTTTTTAATATCTCGAAAACGAAGCAAAATTCAGGTAGAGTTATACGAAATTTTTTGTAAACTGCGATTTCACATCCAATTATTTATTTAAAAATTTTTTTCATGTAAAATTTATAAAAAAAGAATGAAAAAGCATATAATTGTTTTCTGAGCCAAGCAAAATTCATGCAGTTAATATGAAATTTTTTGTAAATATTTTCACATCAAATATTTATTAAATTTTTTTTTATGTAAAAAATATAAAAAAAATCAAAGCAAAAAAATTGTTTTTACTTTTTTGCTTATAATTACTTTCTGAGTAGAGATAGGTGTAGGCATGGCTTCATACAAAAAAATAGATTAAATGTCCTTTAAAATGGTGGGTTATAAATGTTTTTTGGATAAAAATGGACCAGCTAAGATATTGTTCTCTTCTTAGGACATAATGAATATCATATTAGTTGAAACCCTAAGTATATCGTTTGGGTAATAAAAAAGGTAAAAGAAAAACACAAAATACGAACTTATAAAAACGTTTATTTTAATTTAGGAATGCTTGAAAAATATTGATAACATATTGATTAAATGGTTTATTCAAATTACTAGCAAAAATCATTGAAAGTAGGAACTCAAATGCCATAATATATTATGGGGTCTATTCTGTAACAATTCCTTTATATTTAACGGCCTTTAAAAATATTTTCTTCTTTACTTCTGTCATTATTTAAACGGATCTTTAAAATAAATTAAAGAACTATCTTAAAGAAATCTGTTTAAGTAATGACAGAAGTAAATTAACGAATAGGAAAATATTTTAAAGGCCGTTAAATATAAAGGAATTGTTACAGAATAGACCCCTATGTCACTTAAGTATTAAAAGTTTTAAATTTTGAAAAATATACATTTTTAAAACATTTCACATCTAAAAACTAAACGAAATCTGCAGCATACATTAGTAGTTAATTAAATGATAAGTATAAGAACAATGAATACAAAATCGCTTAGTGATAATAAACATTTGTTGTATGTCTTATTCAATTAACTGCTAGTTGCACATTGTGAAATATTTTATAAAATTTTATACTTGTTACTCTTACTTCAAAAATTAAAACTTGTTTAATCCCATTTGTAATTAAACAAATTGATGAAATTTTAAATGTTAGTTACTAGTTATTGGAAAAGTATACAGGGTGTCCCGAACTTAGACGGTCATATTTTAACAACATAATCTATATCCTAAAATAGAAGTAAAAGGTTATGTAAAAATAGGTCCAAAAACGTTTCGTTTTCGAGGTACAGGGTGTTACAACTGAAGTCCTAATGGCACATTTTTGTAAATATTTTCTAAAATTTCTTTAGTCACCGATTTTTCAAAGTTAAAAAAAAATCTGATTCCACAGGCCTACTAATTATTGTTTACACTTTCGAATAAAATAACGTTAACTTATCATGAAATTTTCAAATGTTTTTTTTTTTTTTTTTTTTTTTTTTTTTGAAACTAGTGTGTCCAAACGAGTAGCAACAAAAGTAGCTTTATTATAAAGAAAACATTCGTTTTCCAAATTTTATAGTCAAAAATATTAAAAACAAAAAAAAACTTAGGGCAATTTTACCCTAAGCCCCCCCCCCCCCCCCCTAATTTACCCACCTATGAAGATGATAAAAAACTGGGGTTTGGTCCATTAAATAGAGCATAAAAGAGTAAGCATTTGTACCAAATTTCACTTAATTATCTTTAGCGTTTAGAAAATATTTACAAAAGTGTGTCATCAGAACTTCACTTTTAACACCCTGTATCTCGAAAAAGAAACGTTTTCGGACCTAGGTTTATATGAACTTTTACTCCTATTTTAGGATGTAGATTACGCTGTTAAAACATGACTGTCTAATTTCGGGACACCATGTATAAATTATGTAAAAATTTAAGATTTTTTGTTTATTGACTTTAGTGATATATCGTTTTTAAAATCATCAATTTAAGCCATATCACACTATTTGATATATGTTTGCCTAGAATCTAGATAAGTGTGCGGAAAAATTGGAGGTAATTTTTTCTTGGAGGCCTGTGTTATTAATCGCTTTCAGAATCGCTAAGCAATTCTATAATACTTCCTACTGCTGTCACTGTTGCAATCATCCTCCGAAGCAGATTCGTCAGCCGATCCTGTATTTACAATAAACAGAAGATAATCTACAGCATTATCAAGAATGTGTTCATTTTTAATCCATTCAGATTCACATTTCTTTACATGTTCACCAATAGAACACCATTCTTGAACAGACATTTCAGAAAATTTCTTCTTGGCTAATTTCTTCGCACCAACCAGTTTAAATATGGTATTGTGCTCTGCCACCCCGTTCTTGACCAGTACCCAGTTTTTTCTATTTGGTTGAATTCTGGATGATAAGGTAGCAACTGTAAGACTTTATGCCCATGTTCTTTTAGTAAACAGTCCAATTGAGGAAACAGGAATACCTAACCAAAATATTTTTATTAATTGATACAAAGCTGGTTTTGTCTTATTGACATCATGGTCAACTTTGTGGGTCCTAAGTCATTCTAACATTTCTTCTTCCTTACATGCTGAATACTTTTTCACTTTTCACGTTGTGGTAAGAAGCATTATCTACAACCATAATTGATTTCTCAGGCATATTGAGCAATAGTTGTTCCTAAACCCACTTCATAAATTTTGAATGATTCATGTCATCATGGCAGTATCCACTTTTAGAACCTAAAAAAAATTGAATAAATTTAATCTAGACCCATACGAAAATTTGCTATTTTGTTAATAAATTACATAATAACTAGACATTCAGTACACATATGAAGTGAAGGATTGCGTTTTATTTGAATGTAATTTCATACAAAAAGAAATAATAAAAAGTAGGAGTGAAATATGTAATATTTACATTTAAATTGTATTTCCTAATTTGACTGTTAGAAATATCTTTAAATATATATTGTTTTAAGACCAATAAAAAAACCATAAATAACAATAGTATAATTTTCAAAAATTTATCTAAAAATCAGGTTGTACATGTTTTTCGTTCTAGCTCAACAAACATTGTTATGGACGCTAATGAGTGAAGTTATTGTCCGTTTTTCCACACATTCCAATTAAACCATTTTAGGACTATAGTCAATACCATTAAACAGTGTTTTCCCCTAAACTAAGTTAAAACATGTTATACCTGATATAACAGTGTTTATAAATGTTTCTGACTATAATTTATTCTTGATTTCCTATACTAATGGTGTAGTGTATTTTATTAACTCTGTCGACCTGATTGTGACGACGCCAAAGACAGTGCATGTGAGACAATATAATCATTATTCTGATGTCACCTGATCGAAAATTGTTTTAAAATTTTTAAAATGCAATGGACTTGGGAACAAAACCAGGCAAGCTTTCGTGGTAGATAAGAAAGCATAAGAAGTAATACGTTAAAAAGTGCTATCATGTAACAAATTTTCAAGTGACAATTATTGTTTAAAATAAAACTTATAAAACTTCATATAGTCCATTCTCATTAATCCAAAACAATAAATATTTAGGACACTTGCTACTTACAAAGTAACACTTTTCAATATAGAGGCGTACCTGAACAAAAGACATTAGGAATAAATAATTTTTCTCCACCTGCATGTACAATCACAAGTCTCCTTCCTTTTGAGATTGGCTTCTTCAAACCTTTACCTGATATATCATACCATCCATTAGATTGCACATGTGAGTTGTGGATGTATGTTTCGTCAGTATATATAATATTCTAGCCTTCAGTTCTATATTTAATAAAATTTTCTAAGAACGTAATTATTTTAAGACAAATATAGGATTCCATAATCATCTTTCTGTTATCTTGTGTGCGCTGTCATCTACAATATTTATTTATTTATTTATCAGAAACATACAGGTTGCCGGCCCTAATTACATGTTCCTGAAACAAAAATTATTTTATAATGACAGCAATTTTCTGCAATATAATACTAATACAATAATAATAATATATGTGTTAAGATCTAGTTTAAAATAGGAGGCTAGTACAAAGACAGATATATTTTGTATAATTAGGTAATACGTACATTGGATGTGATATACTTTTTAAACAAGGACAGTGTTATTCCAAATAATCCAGGACAGAGATATGTGATGTATGTGTTGTATAACTGGCATATTTGATTTATAGTGTTGTTGGT